TTTTTATACATGGCTTTCAAAATTGATAACAGCCTTCCTCGAACTCCTAATTTTGACAATTTATACCACAATTTACAACGATCGACGGAGTCGAACGCTTTCTTATAGTCAACAAAACAACAATATAAACGTTTACTATCATTTAGAGATTTTGTAATAATGGCATGAAGCGCGAAAATGGCGTCAACCGTACTTGTTCCAGGACGAAAACCAAACTGTGCATCTGTGATAATGTCATTCGACTCCGACCAGTCTACTAGTCTTTTATTCAGTACAGATGTAAAAAGTTTCGCCATACAGCTCAGGAGACTTATTCCACGATAATTATTAGGATCGTTTTTATCACCTTTTTTAAACATCGGGACCATCACCGCTTTAGACCATTCTTCAGGGAAACATCCAGAGTTAAATACATTATTGAAAATAGTATGTAAGGCTTGTAGTAAAATGTCACCAGCTTCAATAAAATATTCGTTTAGTAAACCATCTAGACCATGCGCTTTTTCTCGTTTTAGACGCTTGATAGCACATTTAATTTCGTCTGTAGATATACTACGGTCAAGTTCATCAAACACAGGTGAATGTTCAATGCATTATCACTGCCTAGATTCTCAGGTATATAGATATCATATTGAAAGAACTGTATCTGTCAGTGGGTGGTCATGTTGCCCTAACAACCTTTATAACGGACACTAAAGTTGTTTATACCTTAAACAAGGGACAGGTCATTACCACATGGCCAGTGGTATGCCTGTTATTTAAATTACCCCTAATGCCTAGCTGCTGGTTTGGGGAACACATAGTAGGCCCATGGGAGGAGGGCTGTTACGTCCATGTATATGTAAACCGTCATTTTTGTAGGTTTCTTTTCCTTCAGACTATTATGATAGTTGGAATAATTTTCACGTAATGCGGTTTATAATGTTGTTGTTTTTTTACAATTCGTTTCGACAAATATGTATTCCGTAAAATTTTCGACCGAACGTTTCACAAACGCTTTTTAAATGGAAAGATGTAGACGCAAGTGCTACGGAAACGATACGGAAGTGCTACGGAAACGCTACGCAAATGCTACGGAAATGCTACGGTAATGGTACGGAAGTACTACGGAAATGCTACGGAAGTGATACGCAAGTGCTACGCAAACGGTACGGAAATGCTACGCAAATGGTACGCTGAAAGTGGAACAGCGAACGTGTACGGGTCTGTATATATTTTACTTTTTGAATTTTGGATGAACATGCATAAAGAAAGGCCAGGATCACTTAGTTATGCTTGAATCTGTATTCATATGCAATGCTTTTATTTTTCGTTCTAAATATATTATGAAATTATTATAATTTTTATAATATTAAATATATTATACATGGAAAGCGCAATCAGATAATGTAAGCATTCCTGTACCACGTGTATTTATTGGAATATAGGACTTTGAAAACTACATATATTATAAACCCATGTGTTCCGGAAGGGTATGCGTCTCCTGTTTTAAGGAATTCACTTCCCATGGAAATTTAGGTAAATCAAACACTTTCCCTCTCCCGTTTCTCCTTCCTTGTTACCTCAAATGTAAGCTCGTCGTTCGGTTTCTCCATCCCTACTCTATTCCCGAACCATTTAAGCGTAGCATTGGCAAATTCCAAGAGTGAGACGAACGCAATCAGGTTCACTGCGACGTTTGCAACAAGTTTGATGGACTGTGTCGCCCCCGTTGACGCTGCCTCCACTATGTTTCGCTCTGGTCTAAAGAAAAGGCAACACAGTCAAGCATAACCTCCGTGGCCCTATTGTTCAACGGTTGATTTAGCGTTACGGGTAGTAAGGGAGAAATTCAATTATTGCTAGAAAGAAACAAGGGCCCTCGAAGCAAAATGATTCCTCAAAACACATAAATCTTCACTGTCTCAAAAGATCTATATTAGTGAAAAGTATATTGGATCTGAAATGTCACCTAACCAATTGTCCACCTCAGCCGAATTATATACAACTTGGGTAAGGTGGTAAGATGGTGTTTTCCTCAGCATCATCATATAAGAATATATAGGATTCCACAATTTTAACTTGATACATGTTACGGAATACATTTGATAGCCAGTAAATTAGCATTACAAAGGTCATTACGTATTAACACAACATAATTCGACAAGTAAAAAGGTATATATATAAACTCCAGATAGCAATGGTTTTGTGGAATGATTTGGTGTTTTAAAATCATCAGTGCTGAATTCGAAAATTCTCGAAAAAAGAAATTGGAGATTTGGTTAATTTTTGCTTCCTCATGTATCTTAAATTAATCAAAGCAAAATCAATACAAACCCTTTAGACATTTTGTAAACATCGCTGGATTCGATTTCGGACTTTTCCGTCTCTGGGTAGAAGAGCTTTGACATGGCTAGGGCCGCCGGAGCCGACATCACGGAGGCAGACAATAAGTGATTGGCCGGTACCTAAGGAAATCATCATCGTATAATGTATTAAAGTAAGTATACCAGCTCATACGTATGTTTACATGACACGTGTATAACCAGTAGAACACCCATCAATAATTTAAGGAGGGGACTTAGAACTGTAGGACCATCAGCTGCCTCTTACTCCTAAATGGTGAAACAATGAAAAAGCTGTTATCGCAAATGCTTTTTTTTATATGTTTCTCTTCTATGACTTCATACATGTCCTTAGTAGACTTATACCTCAATTTCACGTGTTGACACTAAAATATAGATATAACATGCATCTGAATAATCCAAACATCAACAGTTATATGACGAACGGTGATGAAGCTCTGCACTGTAAGCATTGTTTACTGTAGTGCAGCAAAGCAAATAAACTGCATTTGATATGTATTACAAGTACTGCTTATTATCGCTTCATATTTATCGGGTTTCGGAACAGAAGCACGCTGTATATTTTAATTAACATTGGAGTAATGAAATTACAGCCAATGGAAAAATGCATAAATCACATTATATCAGACATGCGTACTGACACCATAAAGAATGTAGGCAGCCATGACACTTCCGGCTATTGTGGCGAACCCTCCTGTGCACACGGCGTGTAGCTCAGACTTTGTCAATTTTGACAGGAAAGGTCGGATCATTAGTGGAGCTTCGGTCTGAAAAGTCAAAACATGAGTTAAATAGCATCAACGTGTCTTCATTTCTCCTAATATATTTATTTTCAATATTCGAACCACATTTGTTGTTGAACTGGATATCAATCCTATCTAGGTATCACATACAAAACGCGCCGCACAGTTTCCTTTATAATCAATGGTTATTCGCTAGATCCACCCTATCTAAATTTTAAGCACTATATCTATCACAATTGTTTAAGACTTTATACTGATCACAACCAGACCTCACTTAACCTACAAGAGGGAAATACTGTATTTAGCACCCAACATATTTGTATCATCTACATTGATCAATTATCATACTTTAATTACAGTTTTGTCTAATCAATCAAAATACATACGTTTATGTGAAAAATATTAAATTTTTCACCAAACACGATGAACGTATCTTCCCTTAGTGCTGCGCAAGTGCGAAATATAACAAAAAAATATTGTCCACAGTAGTGAATTCATCCAGAAACCAAGACTATATTGTATAAGCTTCTCTGATAAAAGGGCGGTCGGGTTGCGCAGTGGATAACGCACTTGCCTTTCACCAAAGCGACCGGGGTTCAAACCCCGATCGGACATGAAAAAATCACCTGCGACCAACAAGAGTAATTTATATTAGTTGAAATAACTTGTTTCATAATTGTTGTAAAATAGATAAGGTTTACAATATTTTTTTTATAAAATGGGTGGCGTTTAACTTCTAATGATACGACTTCAGATTCTGAAATATGAAAGTCGAATAACTAAATCTAAATTTAAAAGAACCTACATGTAGTGATGGATGAACCCATATGTCATTATTACCTGACCAAGGAAGATGTTCCCTGCAGCATTCAATGATTCAGCTGGAGAGGTTCCCAAGGCATTTGCAAGAAAACGTGCGACGTTCCGAATGATAAATTGCATTACGCCAAGGTAATAGAGAATGTAGACAGACGTACTGAAGAAAACAATGACGGGCAACACCTGTGAATAATACATTTTAGTTGTCTGTTAAAACATAAACTTAAAATCATAATGGCATTGATCATTTTCGTTTTTTTCTATATAGTAAATTTACAACCAATGTCTTCAACTTTATTTTGATCAATGTATGTAAAATCGATAGAAGCAATCTAATAGAGCACAATACTATTAAAATTCATATTATGATGCGGTAAAATATCTTGTTCTCAGCTGTGACGTCACATGAGGTTGGATCTACTTTAATGTTAATTTGGTTCAATAAACTTATTTTCAACTTTTTACAAAATATACAATCGGCAGTCAATATGCATATGTGACTGTTCCGTCTCCATTAACTACGAAAATAACGGTAATTTAATTTCTGTATTTTGTTCATTTTCAGACGCGGTAAGCAGATTTTAACTCGTTACTAATAATTCATCAAAAGCCATTTCTATAAGATACGTTTGAATGTACCTATGCTCACTTGATGAACGTTGTAAAAATACAGTTTAAAATTTCCTTCACTGTTCCTTAACAAGCATGGCGAAAAAGATGGATTTATCAATTGCCCAGAGGGAAGCGCTGTTATGTTTTTTTGTGTTTTATTTTAAATATGCACATTATTGTTGTATCCGAAAATTCAGTTCCGTAATAACCAAAGCCTTGTCATCTTAGACTTCACCAAACACAGTTATTCCTCTCACATGGATATATCCTCACCGAAAACGCAAAGAAATGGTCTGTGTAGTTTTCCCCGAACACAAATTCAGCTCCTTTGTCCGAGTACTTGATGAATTCCGCGAATCTCTCTCCGATCCATTCGAACATATCGTATCCCCCTTTGGACCTGAGGATGATGAGAGCAAACAGGAACTGGAGCATGAGACCCCAGAACACGGGTCGCCACTTTACCTAGATCATTCGAACGGTCGGATTAACATACAAAAGTCAACAACACATGGGACGAAATCAGCGCTGGGATATGTTCTACTCACAATAAACACATGGAGTTACATTTATATGACACTAAGAGGTTCTGTGCTATTTGTGATACATATGGTTCAAAATGAAGCATGATTGACTTATGAAACATTGAGAAACTTGTTACAAAAATTCGCTGTTGTGAATAATATATCAAAATGTATGAACCGAAAGAGTAACTCTCATTTAGATTTATTCAAGTTTAGCTGTACAATGCATGGTCCATGTATAAAGCATTGTTGTATTAACATTTTATCCCAACATTCAGGTCAAACCTTCACATATTTTTGTATACAGTAAATTGTATTAATATTGCTTTAGTAGTGTCACCAACGCAACCCGTACGCTGCCATTGTTTGGTTGTCTGTTTCATCTCTTGCTACGATAGATCCAGTTATAGACACTCTTCCGGATGTGTGATAAGTTAATTGGATATATCATTTATCTGTGATTGAAGTAATTTGATATTTGATCAGCCTTATAACCTTACATTTCGGGGACAAAAAGAGTTTCCAATGAGATTCTTACCTTAGCAGGATTGACGGAGAATATATAAAAAAGGAGAACGAGAGTTGCAAGACCCCCTGCGGAGACCAGATTTCGGGGAGTTTTCAGTGCAATTTCCACGATGACGTACACCACAGCAAAAATGGATGTTCCAACCGACAGGAATATGTTGATGCTGGAAGACAATGGAGATATGTTGATGTTAGTTCACAAAACAAGCGTAGAATTAATTTGAAACAACGTGTAAATTCACACAACCTCCGTTTAAAAATTTGGTGTTATGCTTTTGACACGAGCTAACTTTGGGTGAAATTAGCGCATTATCGAATTTGAAGAAATGATTATTTTGATGTATTGGTGCACCAGCCAAATATGCAACAGAAAACAATATAAAGGGAATTTCAATTGGCGCAGTCATAGTTAAGCGCATTATGACCCGCATGATGCAGCATTAAGTACAGGATCTAGTATAATAAATTGAACATAAGACCATTGGATGCTTAATAATAGGCTATATGTTTAGATTATGTGGTACATGGACCAAGTCCGAAACGATAGCTTCACGTTTTCATTCCAAACAAAACACAAAATGACATGTTAAACTCTTTTGTATCATGATTAGAATTGAATCAAATATACAAAACTCACCTTTTTGAAGCCTTCCTTTTCGTTTTTTCACTCGACACGTGACGCCAACATATTCCCAGTTTAGTTCCATAGAGTTCCATTAGTAACGTAACAGACAAGCCCACTGCAACTAGGGCAGTGACGACGAGCAGGCGCACAGAACCCTCATCACCAAACCGGAAGTACATGGCGTAGGAGAAGTAAGCTATGTAGAGCAGCAACAGTGTGACGTAAAAGATATTACGTATTACTGTTTTATGGCTTGTGTAGAGGTCACCGAGGTGATTCTGAATGGCCCCGACGCAACGTGGACAACCTGTCACACTATCGTTGTCATTATCATCGTCTCCATCTTTAACATCTTCTGACTTGCTGACTTGGAATGTGTCAACCTCCTAATGCAGAAGGAAATCAATATGTGTAAATTAAGTAAAATGCGCTAGTAAAGTATGTATATGTATTAGTAAATTATGTATATGTACTAGTAAATTATGTATATGTTCTAGTAAAATATTTATTTGTTCTAGTAAACTATTTATATGTTCCAGTAAATTATGTATATGTATTAGCAAATTATGTATATGTATTAGCAAGTTATGTATATGCACTAGTAAGTTATGTATATGTACCAGTAAGTTATGTATATGTACTAGTAAGTTACGTATATGTACTAGTAAGTTATGTATATGTACTAGTAAGGAAAAAGCTGTACAAAACTACAAATAATGCGAATGCTCAAACAAAAGCTAGATAGAAAATCTCTTGAAATAATTTATAAATCTTTTATAAGACCAACACTTGAATATGCTTGTGCTGTGTGGAATAATTGCACCCAGGGTGAAAGTGACTTATTGAAATCAGTCCAATTTTAATGTCTCAGAATTATATTAGGTTTGAGAAGAGGTACAAGTCATAACTTAATATATAAGGAAGTTGGGGTAGATAAACTAAAAATAAGACGTGATAATTACCAATGTATATTATTTTTCAAGATACTGCAGCATGACTGTCCTGACCATCTTTATGATTGTATCCTACCATATTTTAATAATGATATTAATCCTCGCCTTAGACATCATAGAAACTTTATTGTTCCCTTGTGCAGAACCAACTTGTATAAAAATAGCTTTTTTCCTAGAATGATGTCTCTATGGAATAGGCCAGACTGTATTTTTCCAAAACTCACTACATTGAGCCAGTTAAAACTGGAATTACTTAAGGAAAGCACATACGTTTTGCAACCATCTAACTGTACGGATATTTTTAAATACGGTGGCTCCAGGAAGTTGAATATAACTTTATGTCAACTACGGAATAAAGTCAGCCAATTAAAATCAGATTTATATAATGATCATCTTACAGATAATCCTAAGTGTGACTGTGGTTTTATTATTGAAGATGCAAATCACTTCTTCCTCAATTGCCCCAAATATATAGATGAAAGACAAGTTTTATTCAATGCTTTATCTAATTACAACGAAATTGACAACATCATCTTAAATACAGTTACTTTCACTACGGGTGATATGAACCTTAGCAGTGAATCAAATAAATTTATTCTCTCATGTGTTCTGGAGTTTATTGACAAATCTGGAAGATTTTAACTTAAACTATACTAAAAATTACATTACAATGTGTTTGTATTTGCTATGTTATAACAATAACTCTGGTGTAATTGGGAAGGATGGCACTGTGTATAGTGACAATTTCTTTGAAGTGCCTCCAACCAAACACTAGGCTATTAATAATTGAAGTAAATAGATTATATTAATTGAAATGGTAAAATCTATGATATTCTAGTTACATGTATTATTTTTTGTGAACATGTATTAAATGGTTCTAGTATTCTCCTATTAATTCGAACATATACTACATCTTCTCTATAATACTCTCTCTCTCTATATATATATGTATATATGAATGTATGAAATGTGTGTATTTTCTCTGGAAAGGGCTTTTATAGGCAATGCCTGTGCCTAATCCAATTGTTTCTTTTTGAATACAATAAAATTGATTTGAAGAAGAAGTAAATTATGTACATGTACTAGTAAGTTATGTATATGTACTAGTAAGTTATGTACATGAACAAGTAACTTATGTTTATGTACCAGTAAGTTATGTACATATACTAGTAAGTTATGTACATGTACTAGTAAGTTATGTATATGTACTTGTAAGTTATGTATATGTACTAGTAAGTTATGTATATGTACTAGTAAGTTATGTATATGTACTATTAAGTTATGTACATGTACTAGCAAGTTATGTTTATGTACTAGTAAGTTATGTATATGTACTAGTAAGCTATGTACATGTACTAGTAAGTTATGTTTATGTACCAGTAAGTTATGTACATGTACTAGTAAGGTATGTATATGTACTAGTAAGTTATGTATATCCACTAGTAAGTTATGTATATGCACTAGTAAGCTATGTACATTTTGTATATGTACTAGTAAGTTATGTATATCAACTAGTAAGTTATGTATATCAACTAGTAAATTATGTGAATGTACTACTAAGTTATGTATATGTACTAGTAAGTTATGTATATGTTCAAGTAAATTATGTATTTGCACCAGTAAGTTATGTATATACACTAGTAAGTTATATATATGCACTAGTAAGTTACGTATATATACTAGTAAGTTATTTATATGTGCTAGTAAGTTATGTATACGTACTAGCAAGTTATGTATATCAACTAGTAAGTTATGTATATGTACTAGTAAGTTATGTTTATGTACTAGTAAGTTATGTACATGTACTAGTAAGTTATGTGAATGTACTACTAAGTTATGTGAATGTACTACTAAGTTATGTATATGTACTAGTAAGTTATGTGTATGTAATAGTAATTTATGTATATGTACTAGTAAGTTATGTATATGTTCAAGTAAATTATGTATTTGCACCAGTAAGTTATGTATATGCACTAGTAAGTTATATATATGTACTATTAAGTTATGTATATCAACTAGTAAGTTATGTATATGTACCAGTAAGTTATGTATATCAACTAGTAAGTTATGTATATGTACCAGTTAGTTATGTATATGCACTAGTAAGTTTTGTATATGTACTAGTAAATTATGTACATTTTGTATATGTACTAGTTGAGTGTGTATATGTACTAGTATGTAACGATTGACCTTCAAATTAACCTTGATATTCAGTTCGTGTTTGTTTCATAGATAGGTTTATTATGATATCAACATTGTTATATCTGAAACTGGTGTCAAACCTTCTCGAGAGACGTCTGTAAGGAGATACCTATGTTGAAAGTTCCAGTTTCCTATTGTCTGAATATTAATTTTTACATTTTTCTCGATTTTGTTCGTTAGATTTAATTTGTAGCAAAAGAAATTTTAACAATTGCCTTCCCAGTAACCGAATAACCTTATTCCCTTATACACGCAAGTGTGTGTATTATTTGGTTGATTTTGATATACGTTAAGAAATTTCAATTGGTTTCACGATGAGGAATTGTTTTGTAGTTGAACTTATGTAGAGTATTACCTTAGAATATATGGCCACCATAATTAATCGAAGACGATACAATAACTTCGATATGTAGTGGGAAAGGACGGTTTCACAAAGACCTTCATCAGGGAAATCTCAAGAGGGATAGGACCACAGATAAATGTATATCAGAACATCATAAAACATGACGTAATACACAAAGAATTTCCAACAATAGACAGGTGTGGAGAGACGTCGTATCTACCCTACACGCCAGTTTAACGGGCAGTACGTAAGTATAGGTACGTATGTATGTGTGACTTCCATGACTTAATAGATATAACAGGTAAGTGAATAAAACATACTTATTCATCGTCATTATCCAATGTTATACCTACTATAGTATTCAAGCCACGCATACAAGTATTACTTACACTCGGGAAAGAATTTATACACCCTACATACGGTTGAACAAATCCATATGATTAATTCAATGTAAACATTTTCTCATTTTTCTCCTTGGTTTTGATTTGTTATTATATAGTTGAGGGAAAGTCATGTGTATTGTACTATAAAATCGGTAAAGAGGTCAAATAGTGATGCGTATACATTTACTGAAATGTTTTATCATCTTATCAAAGTTAGGATAGTGTAACACTGAATCTATTGTATATATACACTATATAAACTAGTGATAACGTGCGGATATGTGTTGGGATTTATACTCAGTGATAATAATTATTTCCTCCGTATATTATTGGTTGATGAAATTTAAAAAAAATGAATACATGATTTTTCACCTTGCGTTATTGAGGTGCACCAATGACAGTTGGAAACATTATCTTACAGAAATGATGCTATCTTTGTTGTAAAACAATGTATGATAAAAATGTCTAGTGCGACAAGGATATTACACACATTCATATAGAAGGCCATTGCTGACATACCTCTAGGAACGGCTGGAAGTTAAATAACACAAATACCTTCTCCTGGCCAGTGACCACATTTTTATAGAAGCTGGGGTTATCAATTCCACTGCTAGATGTATCCGTCCCTGTGTGCGTCCAGCTGTCCGTCCCACCGTAAGTATGTTGCTTACTACGTATACCTGTATACAACGGTGCGCCTATCGAATGATCCCCGACTTCTTGTTTTCCTATTAGATTTACCAAGTCCTCCTTCCCGGGTTTAACTGACCCCATTACGCTAGTAACTGTGTCACATTATGCAGACAAAGATGTGTGATTTTATATTAGTTGTTCAGCTGTTCATAATTTCACCTTGCCATAGTCGATTACGTTTTGTAACATAACGTTTAAGATAACATATAGTCCATAACTATAATAAACACACTGATAACCTCTATCTGATTGCTATCAGATATGCAATGTTGTTGATAGGGTGTCAACTATAAAGTTGACGGTCACAGTAACCATTGAATGTCCGAAAACATTCAAATTATTGCCGTTATGTTAATTAAGGATTAACTTGAATATATTTTTCATGTTATGGAGATATAACACAAAAAACAGAGTGTACTGTAAATAAACCGCAAAGCGGTTTATGATGAGAGTACACTCCGGTTTTTTGTGTTATAGTTTCATAACATGAAAAATATATTCAAGTAATTCCTTATAATTTAATCTACTATACACAATCCCTGTGGAAATACACTTTTATTGATGGACTCTTTTCTCTTAGAATTTATTGCACTGCTGTATCAGCCAATCAAAAGCGACGTTACAAACGGCGACGTCATTTTTTTACGTTAATGGGCTGATAACATTTTTTTTAAGCCAATGAAAATGCTTGTTACAAGCAAGATTAAATTATTATTTGATAAACAAAATTGTATATTTTCCATTGGTATAGCAACATGTACATTATATGTCATATGGCACATTTTATATCATAAATGTTACTTTAAAGAGGAAAGGCGAGGAATAAAGAGAGATTTCGAGGGATGTCTATAATTTAGCGGTTTCTACAATATGGTTTGATCCCGTGTACAAATGAACTAATTTTCAACCAGACATATATTTCAATTAGTTGGAGATCTGACATCGTAAACCACAAACACTGTCAATCATTTCTTAAATGTGTAAAATGATTTTAATGTGTATTCCGTCTTAAACAAGCGCGGTGAATTTGAGCAAATATGAGGATATTGTGTATTTCTTAGCCTTGAAAGTATTAGGTTTACCATCCCTCCGGGCCAGGAAGACAAGTCCCTCGACCCTAGCTTAGCTGGATGACGGCAACCTGCCGTTCGTGGATGGCGCGGTTTGTTGAATTAGCAGGTAATGGTCGCCTATGAAACCGATGACGCCGAAGGAGGTAAGTAATCATTCAAACGTAGCACGCGCATACCCGAAATGAGGTAGGATGCCTCAGTTACTACCTCATTCTCAGCGTCGATGGCGACAAGGACTCAGAAGCGGTACCATCCCAAAAAAGGGCTTCTGATCGGAGAGCATTGACCTCAGAACCCCCAGGCGACAGATCGTGAACGTCATTCACTGCCGAATAGCAACTTTCACAACCAATGGATCCGAAGAATCTAATCAAGAAGTTTAGATCGCCGGCGGAGACACGACCTTAGTCAAGGGAGAAAACTTGTGTCGAAGCTCAGGTAACTTCGAATAGAGATGCTCCTTAACCGAGTACTTACCGGCCTTGACCTTTGGGCGTGACGAGAAAGCTGTACTAGATCGCCGTCTAGTTACACCAAGCACACTGGACTGCTTTTATAAGACAGTTAATGACCAAACGCCATTGAGCTTGGCTTTTGTCGATTAAAGAAAAGGTTCAATAATTCAAATAATATTTTTTTTAATCAACGTTACATTTCCAGGTGAATCCATTCCAAATAGTATCATACTAGTACAAATACTAAATGTGATGTCAACTAATTTGTCTCGATTTCGAATTTGAAGCAAGTATACTTTTATAGGGTAAAATTCCTTTGCAAAAGTCAGTATTATTTTAGCCGGTAAGGAATTAAGACCATGCTATGTATTTTGCTGTATTATAAATTCTATCGTAATCACGCCGACTTACGCGTGTTGACTATTTCTTATGTAACACATGCACTCGCATGTATATTGCCAAGTATTACAGTATAAATCGATGCGTTGGGTCATTAGGTCGTCGACAGGTATCATATATCTTAAAATGAAATGGTATTTTTTTCGCTATTTCCAATTCCGCGCACTTAACTTGACCGCTCTATATGTTGCTAGGTCGCCTGGTCTAGTTGATCAGAGTGTCTACACTCCCTGATAAAGCATTACGTAATGGTCTCTCACGTGTGTCACAGAAAGCCTTCTAAACGGTTCTATAAATAGGTAGTAGCCGTCGCATCGGATAAATATAAGCATACATTTTAGCGAAAACGATTCCTTATCAAACATGTCAACCTTTTTTAAAATTTAATCGAAAGAACCTTGGAGATAAGAGACGAAGATATATTGAAATGATAGTCGCCCCACGAACTTCAATACCATCAGTTAGGGATTTAAAAAAAACTGTCAAGATTTTCCACATAAATGCAAGTGCATGTTTGGGTTTTGTAAACATCTACCTTAAGCTGACATGCAAATTGATTACACCTTAATTTATGGGTACCTTCATCGTCGCGCTTTCGCCTGCAGAGGAATGCATGGTTACTTTACACGAAAGAAGATAGACCTAACAACGACCGAGTCTTTTTCTGCAGGACACCCTTACCACTGCGCAAAACTACCAAAAAAATATATTTACGGCATGACTAAAGCTTTTGTATAATTTTCGAGTTGATGAAGCGATGGTTTTCATTTCAGTTCTCTTAGAAACAGAGAAAAAGAAATTATTTAATAAATAAACAAAATAGTGTTTCTATACATTTGGTATGGTTTTGGTTTTGTTTTGTTTTGTTTGTTTGTGTTTTACGTCCTATTAAAAGCTATGGTCATTTAAGGACGTGCCAGGTTTAGGTGTTGTCCGAAAAAAAAACCACCAGCTTATAGTCTGTAACTGGCGACTGCTCCACCAAGGCATTGAACCCGAAACCCAGTGGTGAAGGGCTAGTGATAGCAGAATGTCAGAAACGCCTGAACCACTTGGCCACCGCGGCCCTGACGCAACTATACAACTGTCAACATAATTTAACTGAAAAAAAAATGTTGTTACACTTCCATTATTATAAAAAGGAAATAAATAATAGCGCAATGAATTGATTGCTCCAGAGTTAATGCAAAACTTCTACAGAAAGTACAGCAGATTTTTTTAACCCCCCTTCTTTTCAAAATCTCACACTCTATGTTCCCACTGAGTACTGCTATCATGATATTCTATCATTACAATATAAAAATTCAAATTTGTACCACAACAGTAATTCTATTAAGGTTCTAGTTTAGCTTCCATAGGTCTCCAGGAACAGTTTTAGTTGAATCCTATTGTATTGTTTGCTTAACAAAATGAGGAAGCTGATAGAATGCAGTTCAAACGTAAATGTAATAGACACGTAATGGTTCTTAAATCTAACATCTTCAAACGTAAAACTGTACTTCACCGAACTGACGAAATATTGCCCATGGCAACGATTACGATTCTATTTAGGAATAACCTTTGTATGACACCCTGGACTGGACACAATATATATCCGTATGGCACAGCAGTGTCAAGATGCATGCCATTGAGTGGTGTGTGTATTTTGACGTCTGAAGTGCTATGCATGACTTCCGTTTAGTTCTGAGTGCCTTTGGTTGCGGTTCCATTTTGTATTGGTGCTGTTCCTAATCACTTTAATGGTTAATTGTGTTACTTTGGTCTTACATGACTGTTGTAGTATTATATATGATTTTGATGATGCTTTGAATGACCTTTATTTGTATGCTATATATTCTTTAACGCTATGTACTAACCTTTTCAGTTCCGGGTGCGAATGCTGGGTTATCGATCGAGGTTGGCACGCTATTTTGCCGTCCGTTCTCCATCACATGGCCGCTGACGTCACAATTGCTGATTTTGACGTTGGTGAGTTGAACACCATCCATTCTAACATAAACATATACCATTTGGAACAATATGTTTGGAATGTCTTAACTATTATTTTTTTGTCATAGAACATTATAAAAAACATAATGCATTCACATATCCATAACGACACCCCCCTGCAGGCCGGGGATCGCGAAAAGAATACATCTGCTGTTACTAACTACAAAATTCATAATAGCGACTAATGTAGGAACCCCCTTCAGAATCGGAGATTTGTTTTCGTGCCCTCTACTCGGGGCTACAAAAGCGACCAAAGCAAAAGCTGCTGCACCAAACGCATTATTTCTCTCCCCTTCGTACTACCTTTTATTTCCTAACGCCTGCTTGGTAAAACCTCCTTTTTGGCTTTAATGGTGAGCGTTCGCCCAGCTGAGGAAGACAATGGGTTCTGTTCCCAGGTCGGGACATACCAAAGTCCTTAAAAATGGTATTTGTTATACCCTGCCTAACGCTCAGCATTAACGGTACTGACAACAACTGGTGACACCAGTTGTCAGTATAATGTGACCGGACGGAATGCTGTGCTGGGTGCCTTTGTCATGGTATTTCAGTGAGATTGCACTATAAAGTCTGCATCAGATCCGCGCTATCACAAGTAGGCAATTGCAACAGCATACCCTGTATCTTGCACACTAACACACTTGCACGCATCCACAACCGACACGGAGACACGTCCTTAAATGACCTAAACTGTTAACAGAACATTAAACAAAATAAAACCAAACCAAAAGCATAAGGATATTCATCCTTCTAATGGCCCATAAAACGGGTTGTTTTCGAGAACATAACATAACTTGAGTAATATTACTCAAACACGGCAAAATAACCGATTTATTGACTCAAACAGTAGAAAATACATTGTAGGTACTTTTTTCACAAGACACTTGTAACTTGCCGTTATGTATTCAAATGACAATGAGTTGTTGCTTATTTAAATAAGAAATAATAAGCTAATGAAATTTGTTAAAATAATGGGCACTAGGTTGTAAAATATAAAACAAAATACTGATATCAATTTAAACAAGGAACAATCAGTTGTTGTTTATTCAAACTGTCCCTGCAGGTAGGGCGTAAGATTTGTATCTGCTGCCCCCATTGCATGATCGTAAGAGGCGACTAAATTTGGGATCTTTTCTTTTCTCTTCTTTCTAATTAACTTTCTCCTTCCTAATGTCTCCCTTGACAATGACTCACATTTGGCCTTTAGTTGAACGTTCGCCTCTGTGAGGAAGGCTTTGGGTTCTGTATCCTAGCTGAGACATACCAAAGTCTGTAAAAATGGTAGTTTCTACTCCTGCTTAACGCTCAGCAATGTAGGAGTGGGACGACTGGATCGCCCGTTGTCAGTATAAT